GCCCATCTGCCACCCAGCTTTCCCTTATTAACAAATAGGGTCCCTCATTACTCCCCCAAGGGTCTCTCCTGGGTGGTTTCTCCTCTCCCTTTTTGGTTTTGGAAGCCACACTTAGGGGAAAAAAGAAAAGGTTTCAACAAACATTGGTCTGTTTGGTTGGCACAGAGAGATGGGAATTTGCACAAAGCCTTTGTTGGGCAAGCTTTCCTTAGCTCCCTGCCAAGGAAGTTCTAATCCTGTGTCTCAAATCGGGGAAGGTAACAATGGATTAGATGACTATTCCTTCCATCCTAAATTGTCTCTAAGGAACTGCACCATGTATTTGCAGCAGGGCAAGGACCACGTCAGAAGCAAGGTCACTTTCATTATTGACATATCCCATTTTGAAACTGGCCAATATAATGATGAAGTGGCTAATTCATGATAGTATCATGCACAAAATAACAGCTCACTTAGAACTCATGAACAAATGTTCAGGGATGAGAAGTAGACTTCTGTTCTTGTTGAGATCTGATGACCATGGTTTATGCCATGGCAAATGAGGGTTCATTAGATATCAAAGTAGTTCCCATTATTTAAAGTGGTACTGAATGCTCATTTTTCTCAATCCCAAAGGTTATCTCCTAAACTTTTTTATGTGTGTCTTAACCAAAAAATCATACTCCCTCTCAAATACCCATGTGCTTCTTGGTTAATGCTTTGACCTGGGTTGGCACAGAAGAGAAGTGACAGTCTTAAATGATACCTTATTTGAATGAGGTTCAGTCACGGGAAGAGAGATGATGAAAATCTAAAGTTCGTGGATCTCTGGTAAAATGTAGAAGTCAAACTGACTGAGACTTAGTATCTGGCATTTGGAGACCTACAGTGAGGCCTGAAAGCATTTCTGGACTCAGAATTGCTATTGGCAGGTCAACACAGTCAAGACTATAAGGCTGGTTTTCCACCTTTCAGTTGTATGCAACAACCACTGTGCAAAGTAGCAGGGCTCTACAAAACCCATAACCTTAACACAAATCACTTGTTCCATATGAATTATGATGAAGTGAAGTGAAGTCGCTCAGTCGTGTCCGACTCTCTGTGACCCCATGGACTGTAGCCTACCAGAATCCTCAGTCCATGGGATTTTCCAGGCAAGAATACTGGAGTGGGTTGCCATTTCCTTCTCCAGGGGATCTTCCCGACCCAGGGATCGAAGCCAGTTCTCCCGCATTGTAGGCAGACGCTTTACCATCTGAGCTACCAGGGAAGCCCGATCTGCCATTAAAAACAAATAAATATTTGAACATTAAAAGACAGGCTCCCCACTGTCAGTACCACTTTAAATAATGGGAACTACTTTGATGTCTAATGAACCCTCATTTGCCATGGCATAAACCATGGTCATCAGATCTCAACAAGAACAGAAGTCTACTTCTCATCCCTGAACATTTTTTCATGAGTCCTCAGTGAACTGTTATTTTGTGCATGAATTATGATGAGGTACCTCCAATTTTTCCCCTATCCAAAACCATAGCACTTCCTTACTCATAGCTGAGTGGTGGTATTTCTAGAAGTGCTGCTTTGACCATGTGGTATGAATACTCCTCATAGAGACCTGATAACTTCCTTCCAAACACAAGAGAAAAACTGACACTTGTCAAATGAGTTTCATGCCAGCTACCTCAATATAATTGACATGCTGTTTACTAGATTCTACCTAATGTCATCTCCCATTCTTGGTTCACTAATTAGTTTTGAGGTTTGCCATCGTCTTTATACAATGCATAAAAGAGTTTTCTTCTTAATTGTATTGTATTGCTCAGGACCTTTTACAAATCTTAAGAACAAGCTCTTGCATAAAGCTTTCCTGGAATCACTGGTTCTACTTTTCAGGACAGAAATAATAGCCTATATTTCACTCAAACATTCTGTGATTATATTTCCTAGTAGGACCCATCTCCTATGATACTGAAAGCTCTTGAAAATTGTCCTTAAAAATACTTAAGGTGCCTAGTAGTTTAACAAACTTGTTTGAGGGATAAAGAGAGCCAGTTATGTGAGCAGTCTGCTCTGGTAGAGAAAGTATTTTTTTTATTGTCATTGTTTAGAATTAATGGCATATGGCCATAGTGAAAAGCAGACCAATTTTTAATTAGTTTTAATATTATTTTAAAATTCTCTAGATTTAGACAAGGAACTTCCTTATCCTGTGTCACTTTTGTCAGAGTGTTCCCACCCCATCCATGTACACAACTGTTCAAAGAAAGTCCAAAATGACCAACTTCTATTCAAAAACAAAGCAACTCTTTAAGAACACCCTTTGGCTTTTAACCAAAAACCAAGGATTTCAAAGACTATACCAAAAGGAGCCAAGCACTGTGTACAACAAGCAATTACTGTTATTCTTATGTAGATCAAAAATTGCAAAAGACACTTGTGTGGTCTTTAATGCGTAGTTTATTCCTTCTGTGTTAATACAAATAAAATACATCACTTAGAGTCTTTAAAATCTCACACTTTCCTTTAATTTTTGATAGTTTTGTCTCTGCTATACCCAGCTGAAGTTCTGGAGTTTTCCCTAATTTAGGTAAAACTACTAACTCTTAAGAAAAGACCAAACCAAGTACAAATATATATTTTTCTCATTTTTCTCTGGGGACTTTCCTGAGACTTGAGGCTCCCCACATACAAGGTCATGTCCAATAGTTTAACTTCTTCTCACTGAAAACACTTTCAGTAACTTTTGTTAATAGTATATCAATTAGGAAGTGTAAAGAACATGAAACTATATGCAGAGGTAGGTACATGGGAGGGTTTTGGGGCTAGGCCTGCAATGACACACTTCATTTTTGCTCATTCCCTGTACCACTCATTGGTAGAACTCAGCCATGAGTCACATGTAGCAGCAAATGGAAGCTGCTAAATGCCTGGCCAGGAAGAAGAGGAAATGGATGTTGGTGACCAGTTAGTGTTTGTATTATCCCATCAAATGGTTAGAGCCAGGAAGGCAGGGCATGCTAAATCCTGTCATGCAAAAATCTGTGCTTAATATAGTACATCATACATGATTGAGTTTTGTCAACTCTAGCCCACTGGATGGGAAGCAAGCATCTTACGAACAATAAAGAAAGAATTAGGCCTACAAAAAATTCAAAGACTTTAACCTCAGAGGTAAGACTTAATCTACTAAAACAGAAGAGGAGACTCAGTAGATCCCATGAATGCTGATGAATTTCTAACATTTGGTTGTGAATTTTAAAAATCAAGGACAGTTTATAGCAATTCACTAGAAAATTGTTTCCTTGGTGTGTATGCCCAGAAGTGGGACTGCTGGGTCATATGGCAGTTCTATTTCCAGCTTTTTAAGAAATCTCCACACTGTTTTCCATAGTGGCTGTACTAATTTGCATTCCCACCAACAGTGTAAGAGGGTTCCCTTTTCTCCACACCCTCTCCAGCATTTATTGCTTGTAGACTTTTGGATAGCAGCCATGATCTGAAAGAGACACGTGCACCCCAATGTTCATCGCAGCACTGTTTATAATAGCCAGGACATGGAAGCAACCCAGATGCCCATCAGCAAACGAATGGATGAGGAAACTGTGGTACATATACACCATGGAATATTACTCAGCCATTAAAAAGAATTCATTTGAATCAGTTCTAATGAGATGGATGAAACTGGAGCCCATTATACAGAGCGAAGTAAGCCAGAAAGATAAAGACCATTACAGTATACTAACACATATATATGGACTTTAGAAAGAGGGTAACGATAACCCTATATGCAAAACAGAAAAAGAGACTCAGATGTATAGAACAGACTTGTGGACTCTGGGAGAAGGTGAGGGTGGGATGTTTCAAGAGAACAGCATTGAAACATGTATATTATCTAGGGTGAAAAAGATCACCAGCCCAGGTTGGGTACATGAGACAAGTGCTCGGGCCTGGTGCACTGGGAAGACCCAGAGGGATCGGGTGGAGAGGGAGGTGGGAGGGGTGACTAGGATGGGGAATACATGTAAATCCATGGCTAATTCATTTCAATGTATAACAAAAACTACTGTAATGATGTAAAGTAATTAGCCTCCAACTAATAAAAATAAATGGGAAAAGAAAAAATAAATAAATAAAAAAAAGAAAAAAAAAAAGAAAATTGTTTAGTTTTTGTTAACCTTCTAAATTATCAGATTATGCACAGACAGATACACACACACTCTTATGGTTATATAAGCTACTTGCATGTGTAAATGTACAGAAAATTTTGGTTTCATATGGCTCTTCCGAGACCAAAGAGAGAACATGTAACACTTACTATGAGTTAACAGAGCCTAATTCAGTATCTTAGTACACAGAACTTTGAAATAAATGGGAAAAATATTCTATTTTGAGCTTTCCATGAAGCACTTTATTATTGCATGTCACCCAGGAAACCTAGCAACAACTTATAAGCTCTCACAAATCAACCATTAAGCAGTGGTCCACATTTTGTTCTAAGCATTGCTTCCTTATGAGAAAGGAACACTGATACAGAAGTTCTGGAGATGTGGTTAATTCTTTCAGGCACAATATGATCATGATGATGACTAATAAGCTACATTTTTAAGATCATAAGAGAACTGTAGGTTAACAAGCAAATAATATTAATTATGCTAAAGTAATAGGCACTATCAAACCAGGATTCTGTGGAGATGGATTGCTCCTGTACACCAAAGAAACTCATAAAATCATTCCCCTTTTTATGCTCCAAGATAAAGATATCACACATGCATATGCTAAGAAAAACTAAGTGGCAGATTCCTTTTATTTAGGAGTGTACTGCTTTTTCCCTTGATATTATAATATTAACTGAAGATACTATATGAAGGTTATATAGGTAAGTCATACTGCAACAAATCATTGTTCAAACAGGATTTTTCAGAACCATTTAAACTATTAGTACAGAATGAAACATACAATCAACAGACACTAAAACACAGAATGAATAAATAAAAAAATCAGAATGGTCCTCCACTTACCCGTGGAGTGCACCTGGATTTTATTCAGTGACAGCTTTAGTCAACTGTATCTTCACCTTGATTGTAGCATCTGTATCACCATATTCCTCATTGTTGGTTGCAGAGCTTGCTGTACTTGAAAGTGCACTAGTTTAATACCTATAAACATGAGGAATATAATGTAAGAACATCAGGACTGAATTACTGCTCAGACCCTAATCAGTGGCGCCAATTAAGAGGAAAGTTTAAATCAGAGACTCTCAAGCTGTAGGGGTCATCAGAATCACCTGGATGGTTTATTAAAACCCTGATTTAGTAGATCTGGGGTAGAGTCTGGGAATTTGCATTTCTAACAAGTTCCCAGGTGATGCTAATGCTATCGGCCAGGGGCCACACCTTGAGAACCAATATTAAGTCAATAAACATCTATTTGAAGACCCTCATATGCCTGGAAATGGAGACTAGATTTTTGCCCTTAAAGAGCCAGAGGTGTCACCCAAACCATTACAGTTTCATATTAGTGTTTGTCATATCTACAATTAAAATCTTTAAAAAAAAATATATTGTATAAAACAAAAATTTGAATAAAATGCTGGTATTAACAGTAAATTGTAAGAGTTCACAACATAACATTTAAAATCAAGGGAAACTGATTATTTAATACCTTTTAAATACACATATTTCTGATAGTAAAAATCAAGTAAATTATATAAATATGAACATTAAATTATATAAATATGAATTCCCCCCTCCTTTTGGGGGGAAAATAAAATAAATCTAGGGATACATTACTTAAAATCCTTACCTTTTCTCCCAACAAAAAAATAAACAAAAAGTGACCACCCATCCCCATTTACTAGCATCAAAATTTCTTCCACATTTTACCAAAATAATACTGCAATCTTTTTTCAGCCTTATTACCTTCAGGAAAAAAAAACAGCTCCTCTTTGGCCTGCTGTCCTCAGCTTGTTCTTGGGAAGCTCAGAGGCTTAGCACTCATTCTCAGTTGAAGTAACAGGACTGAGGTTATCAACGGCTATTGGGTTTCCATCTTCTGATTCTGGCCAGTTCCCTGCAGGCAGTGAACATGTTGACCCCCAGTGGCCAACAAACCCTAAACGTTACCATGTGCTGTAAAGCCTCTGAAAGACAGCGTATCTGGGGTCAAATTCAGTCATAGCTGCATTCCATTTGGCTGGTATGGTGCTTGGGGTGACCCGCACTGGTGAACCGTCAGGAGAAGCCTGCCCTGTATAGCGCACTTCTGGCTGATTGCTTCTGACTGCTTATTTACATGACCTGCCCGGTCTCACGAAATGGCTGAAATTGTAGCACCTGAACAAATGGGAAAACCATGGCTTGAATATAAATTAAGCAACTTTCCTAGAGGCACCATAGTAACTTGTGCCATGTGCTCAGAATGACACTCACGGCTCAACGTTCCTTTCTTGCGCTTTGTTGCATCCGCCACTTCTGGGGTTTCTGTAGTGATAACATAGAACTTAGACAAGAACGTAATCAGCGTTGTTTACTGATCCTGATGAGTTGTGCTTAAGGACACAAATATCACGGTCATCATATCCATCTCTCAGGTATGCCATGTCAGCCTGATCAACATGGTACCTTCCTCAACTTGGTACCTTCTTCTGGAGTGTTTTGAAACAGGCTGAGACTCCACTTTCCATTTTTAGGTTTGTGGAGGAGGAAAATATTATGTAAACTAGTGCAAGGTAAAGAAATAACTTGAGCACTGGCCTTGGAGTCAGTGACTAGAAAAAGTATAGGTTTTCATAAAAGCATTCTTTAAAAACAAAACAAAAAAGAAATTGAGCTTCAAATGTCCACGGCACAGTCTGAATTGGAAAACATGAAAATCAAGAGAGAGAAGGTTTCTCCTTGGCCCTTCCTACTTTGGCTGCCTGAGCTATTCTCCCGATTCTTTTTGTCATCGTTGCAGAGAGAGAATTCACCTGTTCCAGTTTGACCTTCTTATTCTTTTAACTGGCAAGAGAGGGGCAGAAGCAGGAGAACCAAAGGCAGTGATTCTCAAAATTAAGTATATATAGCAATTACCTGGGGAACTTGTTGAGGCTACAGCATCTTTGACCCTAGCTGCAGAGATTGCTGTTAAGTCTGGAATCTGCATAGCTCTCCAGCATCCACGGGGGTTTTTGATGTTGTGGGTACTAGAGAACACTTGCAGAAAACCTTTCTGCTTTAAAGAAGTCCTTCTCAAGCTTTACCCACAAATTTCTGTTAAAATGCAGAACCTGCTTAAGTAGATCTGGGGTGTGTCTGAGAGTGTTCTCACAATCTCTTGGGGGATGGTGGTCCAAGAACTACTCTTTGAGTAGCAAGAGTTTAGGGCTTGGACATGTCAGTTGTATTGCCTGGGTTCAAAACTCAGAACACACCGTTAATACTTAGTCCTATGACTGTAGTAATATATCAGTGAGATAATAAATATAAAGCTCCTAGCATATAAGGAGGCTTAACAAATGTTAGCAAGTATTGACATTTTGGGATATTCTGCTTTGAGTTTTGTTTGCTATATGTATTCCTCAGTAAGGGGACTTATAGAGTTGCATACTGGTGTCTTGGTGGTTTGGGCTTGTCTGGGTCACTTGAGTTTCAAGCCTCTTTCCCCCAGGCCCTTCTTCTTCCCTTCTCTACATTGAGCACATCCTGAACATGTCCTAATGGCCATTCCTTCCTCTAAAACCAGAGGTCTCTGAAGAATAGCTCATTAACTGGCAGTCTTGGAGTAGGAGATAAAGAAACAGCATAAAGTTTTTGAGCTATGCCCAGGCTAAGAGATTACAGACTCCTTAAAAAAGGTACCACATCTTTCTGGAAAACCAAACTTAAGACTTCCACTTAATGTATCTTTTGCAATCACAGGCTCCCACAAACCCAGTTCTCTTCTGCTACACCAGGAGCATTTTCCCTCAGAAATCAGTAAAACTGCCTCAATTTCAGGTTGACCAGCTGAGAGAAATCCAGGAAGCCACCCATCACCCACCACAAGTAAGGGTGGTAAACAGGGGAGTCAAATTCACTTCTTGGTTCTACTTCCCAGTGTAACATTGAGACCACATGTCTGCCTCCTTCAGCCTCTTTCTGTAGGAGAGTGACTATGATAGTTAAACAACAGCTAAGCCTAGCCTTATCTTATCTCTTCATTTTAATTGATGATTCTTACACCTCAGTATGCCGAAGCATCTTCAGGGAACAATCTTAAAGCTTTTAGCTACCCAGACCACACTTCGCAAGATGCAGATTAAGTAGGACTGAAATGAATACTGGATAGCTGTGTTTTCAAACTGACACACCAGGTAATTCTGAAGCAGGTGGTCCATTCTCTGATAAACAAAGCTTTATTAAGAGTAATGATGCTTAGATATGTGCTGGTTTAACAGGAACAGCTTGTCTAAACCTTGTTCAGTATGCAGTGATCCAACTGTGGTCTTTTGAATGACCCCATATGGCTTCCCTGATAGTTCAGTTGGTAAAGAGTCTGCCTGCAATGCAGGAGACCCCAGTTCGATTTTTGGGTCAGGAAGATCCCCTGGAGAAGGGATAGGCTACCCACTCTAGTATTCTTGGGCTCCCTTTGTGGCTCAGCTGGTAAAGAATCTGCCTGCAATGCGGGAGACCTAGGTTTGATACCTGGGTTTGGAAGATCCCCTGGAGAAGGGAAAGGATACCCACTCCAGTATTCTGGCCTAGAGAATTCCATGGACAGTCCATGGTCACAAAGAGTTGGACACGACTGAGTGACTCTCACTTTCGTGAATAGAAGCTACCATCTGCTGACTGATCAGGGATCAAGTGACTATTCCTATTTATTTTCCTTTATACCACTCTGTTACTACCACTTTTTGTCTCACAGAGTAGAATAAAGTCATAGCTCAGCACTTAAGAACCTCACCCAAAATTTTACCATGAATTAGGGTCCAAGGTGGACCCCCAACTCTTGTCTGTCAACCCTGAATTAAGAGTCTTTTCTATGATGCTAAGCTTCAGTGGTAAAGCATCCTCCTACCAATACAGGAGACATGGGTTTGATCCCTGATCCAGGAAGATCCCACATGCTGCAGAACAACTAAGCCCAGGCACCGCAACTATTAAGCCTGTGCTCTAGAGCCTGGGAACCACAGCTCCTGAAGCCTGAGCACCCTAGAGCTGTGCTCCACAACAAGAGAAGCCACTGCAATGAGAAGTCCATGCACTGTAACTAGAGAGTAGCCCCCACTTTGCTGCAACTAGAGAAAAGCCCCAGCAGCAACGAAGACACAGCACGACCAAAAATAAAAATACTATAAAAAAGACTTCCCTATTGGCTCAGCAGGTGAAGAATCCACTTGCAATGCAGGGGGAGACACAGGAGACACCGGATCGATCCCTGGGTCTGGGAAGATCCACTGGAGGAGGAAATGGCAGACCATTCTAGTATCATTGCCTAAAAAATGCCATGGCAGAGGAGCCTGGCAGGTTATAGTCCAAAGGGTCACAAAGAATTGGACATGACTGAGTGATTGAGCACTACAAAAAAAAAATATTTTGCTGAGCTTCTCACACTTTAGCTTATGTTAGAATCCCCTGGAGGGCCCATTAAAACAGATTGCTGGGCGCTCAGAATTTATGATTCGGTATGTCTGGTGTGGGACCTGAGAATCTGAATTTCTAACAAGCTCCCAGCTGCTGCTGTTGGACTTTGAGAACCACAGCACTAGAGTTCGCTGTGGGGTCTTTTTCTATAAGTCTGATGCTGTGTCTCTTTAGCAGTCCTATCTACTCACCCAGGACAATTCAGAAAGCTTTCTTTTTCCTTCCACTGTTGCTTAGTCAATAAGTACATGACAAACGGCCAATAAAGTCACTGTTAAGCCAGTTCTNATCTCCTTGCAGTCCAAGGGACTCTCAAGAATCTTCTCCAACACCATGGTTCAAAAGCATCAATTCTTCAGCGCTCAGCTTTCTTTATAGTCCAACTCTCGCATCCATACAGGACCACTGGAAAAACCATAGCCTTGACTAGACAGACGTTTGTTGGCAAAATAAGGTCTCTGCTTTTTAATATGCTGTCCAGGTTGGTCATAACTTTCCTTCCAAGGAGTAAGCATCTTTTAATTTCATGGCTGCAGTCACCATCTGCAGTGATTTGGGAGCTGGAAAAATAGTCTCTCACTGTTTCTCCATCTATTTGCCATGAAGTGATGGGACTGGATGCCATGATCTTAGTTTTCTGAATGCTGAGTTTTAAGCCAACTTTTTCACTCTCCTCTTTGGTCTTCCCTTTATTATGATGGCCCTGTGGTTTTCTTCTCCCTTGGAATTTCTGGGGTTTACTCACATTTGGGGCCTTCATCCTAAGCAGGACCACAGACTTCTTTGTAAGGAGGGTACATTTCATCCGCATTCCCTTTTGTTCTTCCCCAGGAACTGCATGTATGGCTTGCTAAACTATCCCTACAGCAAGCTGAGGGAATATCAGCCAGGGTCAAGCAAGTAAGATGACCCTGTGGAGTCTCTAAAGGGTGTGATGGTGACTCTCTCAGGACACCTAAGCCGGCAAGCTCAGAGTCAAGCGCCTCCAGTGACTCTTCTCTCTTGGTGCTCTGTGTACATTGTACAGCAGTAAAGCCATGTCTCTGAGGTCCCTTCTTTTGCAGGATTCAAACTGCAGTTTTATTTGATGGATCTCATAACAGCAGTTCAGCAGGCCTTCTGGATGACTCCCCTCCAAGTCAAGAATCTACCAGCCTGACTTCAGCTGGGGAAACAGCTGGTGGAGCTGAAGACCTAAGTGCCAGACCCCCTGTGTCACTTACCTAAAGCAGTGTGATGTGACCACTCTGAGTCAGCATTACAAATGTCAGAGATATTTATACCTATTGCCCTCAATGAAATAGGATAAGAGGATGGAATGGGATCTTTTTCCAAGTGCTTGGAAGATTTAGACCCTCAGAAAATATAAGCAGAATCTGAGCCCCACTAGGCAGCTAAGTCCATTTCTCTAATCTTTCTCTCTGGGGGAAAACATTTGAAATAGTCACAAAGTCTGACTTGAGATTCACTGAAGTTCAGAGGGCAAATGGTTGGAAGCCATTAAGAAGGTAGGCTAATAATTGTGGCATGAGTCCAAGTCCTTGCCTGCTACTCAGTAGTAGTGTGACCTGGGTAGGGTGACAAACAGTCTTCAATTTCCAAGGTTTTTTTGTTTTTTTTTTTTAACTACAGAGTTATAAATATGAAACAATTGTGTATTAAGCTTTTAGTTTTTTTTTTTTTTTTTTTTACTACAGAGTTATAAATATGAAACAATTGTGTATTAAGCTTTTAGTAAAATAATACATAGTAAACACTGAATAGATGCTAGTTATTTTTTACTGT